GAGGTGCAGTACCGCGTTGTTGGGCGGCAAGTTGGAAATTTTTAGATCTGCGGAAGCGACGAATATAATTCACATTTTAGATCTGCAAAGCAGCTGAATTATGTGATTACAAAAAAGAAAAATAACAACGAAAGGAAAGCTGAAAAAATTTATGAAAGAATTTAAAAGAATAAATCATACAAAAAGATTATTTTTTATTTCTTGCAGATACTGATCTTAAAAACAAAAAGTTAAACACGGGTATGCATTGCCGTGATTTGCCTTAAATACTAGAATTTGTAAGCGGATGGCTATACGATATCGCATCGTAGGAACCGGAAGTGCTCATATGTGAAGAGAATTACATTGAATAAGACATAACACACAATTATTTCCATTAAACTTCTAGCGTTTTAATTTGAAAACAAATTAAGCATAAAACTGGGTTGGTTTGTCCCAGGTTTACTATGTACAACTGGCCAATAACTGGTGAAGATGAATGCAAGTGTACACGAAACTAGTCAAAGTGTATTAGTACGGAAAACGAAAAACAGTACGAATGTGGGAAAAAGCTAATGTAGATGAGATTCGACTCTACATTGTACATCTTGCCTATAGAGCCACAATCGACAAGGAGAGCTGTTTGGACGCCAAATAATTCCAAACAGCGGAACGGAAAGAAAGGGCTCTATTTAGCACAGTTCCTGCCAAATTTTAGAAAAACTAAATTTCTAACTTGAGAAAACGACGAACCTCTTTAGCATGCCGAGCGGAATCATGTTCAAGAAGTGACGGCTGTATTGATAAATTCGATATTCGATCATACAGCTACAAAATAAGTCAGTAAATTGGCGAGAAAACAAGATTTTCAATCTTATGTATTTTATGACTTCAACTATAAGGAAAAGCTCAAGTGTCAAAGACTCAGTGGCAATGCTAAGCCATTTAGAAGATAACACACTATATTTTCAGCATGGGAGCTTTCGCAGTGTAAGTGAATGCAGACATACTAGCGCAGCCTTGCCAGTCCTTTCCTATGAAATGCTTAAAAAGCTTCTTAGCTTCTTTAGTTGAAAGCGGACGACAAAATGCGAACGCACATCCACACGCAAAAAAAACACACACACCGACAACCTCTCGGCAATATAAGTTATTCTATTTTATTAACGATGCATAAAAACAAGATTTGGGTAATCATAAAATACATTACTGAAACACACAACTGTGAGTCTTGACAAAGAGAAATATTTTTTATTTAATTTCGTGTTAGCACAATGAGGGGAGATGGATGACGGCAGATTAAAATTATTAATAGTATTATAAAATGCCATCTATACGCACGGAGTATATGTTGGTACATATCGTTTACAATTATACCAAGAAAAATGTTATACCGCAGAAAATATATTTTATGAGGCTGTAAATTTATATTTTGTCCACCCACATCAAAAAGGATTTGTTTCGATGTGGTTAATTTTTCGCATTTACTCATCTCTCCTGTACTGAATTCATACTGAGTAAAAACAGCAGTTCATTGCTCAATGGATAAGAACCAGAAATGAAATAAACAAATAAGCCGCTGTGCTTATTTACGATACCATATCTGCTAATTTTCACAACATATCGATTATTTTTTGCTTTTATCATTAAATGATTATTAGTAGTAATGGCAATAACAAAAACAGCAGCGATAATAATCGATGAAAGTAATAATAGTAACAGCATGCATTAATAATCAAATAAAATCACTGCAGCGATAATAATCAATGATCTTAGTAGTAGAGCCGATAATACCAATTATAATAACTACTATTATGATAATAGTAACGACAATAATAGTTAATAATAACAGTAATAGTGGAGTAAATAAAAACACTTTTCATTGATTACATCACACTTCTGCTTCATATTTTCATTTTTTTGCATGCTGCTCTTATATCATATTCAGCTCTAACCATTTCATCTGCATTATTTTCCTGAGAAACTTCAACTATGCCCTTTCTCTTCTAGTCCTGTAGAACGAATGCACGAAAAGACTTAAGGTCTGTTATACCAGTAATAATTTACAGACATCAAATGTCCAATAATGTTGGTGATATCAGCTGATAGAGCAGTTGTGACAACTGATAGGATGACGATAACAGTATTAGCCGGCAGTGACGATGTTAATGCTGGGGACAAATGAAGACGGTGATCATATTAGCTGATAATGATTGTTGTAATCACATACTGCTTCCACAGTTGTCTGATGAGATTTTGTCTTACATAGAATATGTCGTGTTAAGTTTCAAGTTCCGCTACGATGCTAGTCATAAATAAAAAGAAGGAACAGCGGTGGGAGGATGAGCCGAAGGGTGAGAAAGGGCAACTAAGATTAGAAACTTTGAACAGCTGTTCCGGAGGCCTAACTGATGTAATAGCGGAAAAAATACCCAAAAATATACTTGCTTGGTCAGAAATATTAGCCTCTTTTTTCCCCGTTTTCAGAATCCTCATCTACCTTCATCTTTTTTAATTTCTGCAATCGGGGCAGCATACAGTAAAAAAATAAAAAAGATGCAACGGAGACGATGGATAGAAAGCGAAGAAGAGGTAGGGAGAAAAACAGTAATTCTCAGTCAAAAAATGCAGTCGCGATTTACTTCGCTACTAACAATGGCTTGACATAAGCGAGTGCTTAATTTTCTCTTCTTTCTTTTTGCAACATCCCAATAACTCCCCCGGACCACATATCAATGGACTCTGTTCCAAAAACTACATTCGGAGAATGAAACAGCTGGCAAAAGTCACAGGACATAAAAAGTGGAGGAGAAAATGTATTTGTATATTGGCTTGCACAACTGCGCTCGGCGTGTCGGAGCATCTTAGTAATGCCACTAACCGATTCTGATAGCCATTCTTGTTTTCACTATTTTTGATGTAGCCGCATGTGTCTAAAAGCGCCCGAACTGTTGCAACGTGTCTCTCAAAAAATGTGTTCGGCTTCGCTATTCTAGGCGTTGTGTTCTATCCCGATATTTACTTGTTCTAAAAGCTGCAATATTTCCCTCATTTTACAGGAAACTACACTCGGAGAATGAAGCAGCTGGCGAAAATCACAGGACATTAAAAGTGGAGGAGAAAATGAATGGAATTCAAATAAATCTAGAAAACGTAATAGCATAAAAATTCATAATAACAATTTTTGATGAAACAGGCGAAAGTTGCTTATTGGAAAAGTAAACTTTACCACAGATGGAAGTAACAATGAGCATTCTGAAGTCAAAAGCCAATACAAAAAAAAGAAAAATAAAAAGCGGCTTGCTCGTTCCGGCTTTCTAAGACCAAAAAAAAATTTTAAGATTTATAACTTTTGTCGGAGGATTTGCTTTTCACTTCCTCAAAAAAATGGCTTTTGAAGGAGCAATAAATTTGAAATCAAATTAATCACCAACAAAAGTGTTACTGCCTTTGCCACCTCCCTCTCAAAGTGCCCTTTTCTTTTTTTCGAATAGAAATCTTGCAAACTTTTTTCATGCCAAAGGCATATCCACACTAGTAAATAAAAACAACTGAATTTTTCTTAGCAAAGTAAAACCTGCATTCCCTTTAATAAAACACGCATAGACTGACCATATTCTTTACTGCGAAAAAAAACTCTTTCACTCCTCCCCTTCCAAAAAATGTGTGAGGCTGCTGACGCTATTAAAGTAATTAGCTTCCAAGGAATGAAGCAAAGAGAAACCAAGAAAAAGTACAAGGACTGGTTCTTCCATGATTCACCGACAAGTAACTGCATAGTCACGATAACTATTATCAAGAGTACCAATCCTGTTCAGGCTATCAGTATGGGTATCTTCTGCTAGTGATAGGATGCCCCCGCGCGCCGAGCGCAACTATGCCAGGCCTTCGGTCCTAAGCAGTCAATCGTGGCAGCTAATACTCTCTATGAAAGCTGCTGCAAATTTTTGACAGATTTTTCAAAAATGATATGTGTATTTGAATTTTTTTTTAAATTCCAAGAAATGTAGTTGTATGAAGCCGATTTCAGTTCAGCACAATAAAGATGACAAAAAGAAAAACCATTTAATCATCAAGACCGCCTGTTTTAATAATACGAAGCGCTAAGCGTTGCTAAAATGCTGTTGGGTGAGAGACTCAGATCTTTCAGATTAGTAAACTAATTTGTTGTAGGTGAATTTAGGGTGTTCAGGAATACTAAAGTCACATTCAACACCAACGGACGATATCAAGTGTCGAAAAGACCTTGGTGCTTCATTAGCTTCCTAGGTTTTAAGGCTGCTTTCAAAAGTCCGCAAAAAATTAACCCATAAAACAGAAATGCACAAAATTTATTACTGAGCAAATAATGCGATTTGTTAAAAAAGTCATATTACACTTCGAAAGTTATTTAGCTTCCTAGACCCGAACCTGCCAATGCCATCTCAGCAGCGGAAAAGCGAAAAAAAAGGAGACCCACGTTTCAGGGGACGTGTTTTGAACAAGAACACTAAAATAGAAAACAAGGCACTAAACCGATGCTACAAAATTTCCACTTAAAAGTTATTAAATATAAATATGGTTAAAAACTACGCAGATGTTGCTTTGTAAACCATAAACAAAACTCGAAAAACGAACCTTTGCACTCCTCCACCCGCTCCCCGTCCTCCTCCCCCCGCCACCCCTGCCGCATGTCCACCGTACTTTATATTTTGAACTATATGGCATGAGAAGGTTTCCGGAAATAACCAGAATGATAATTTACTTCCCGTAGCAATCATGGCTGTTCGTGACAATTCCCTGTTCTGACAACTGCTAATTATTAGTGAGCTGATGGCAGTTTTGTTGTTCTAATGCTATTAGTGTCACCGAATCATCGATTCCCTACTGAAATGAATTAATGAATCTTTTTAAGGAATTCGGACAAATGGCATCAGCCTGAGTTTTACGCTGATTACCACTACACTATGTTTAACAGCGCATAAATTTATAAGAAAAATAAACTCTAAGGGTTCTAGACGTTGAAGTTCTCTAAAAAATTCCTAAAATCGAAGAATTTGCTCATTGATTTTGATAATTTCAATGAATAATTTCGAAAACGGAAGTAAAAAAACGGCTGCATATATACCGGTTTCAAATATCAATTTAGTTTCGGCACCAGCAAGTTCGAGTTCAAGGCATGATGCCGCGGTGGATGCGCGACTGAATGGAGAACTAGACTGAGCGTCCGCCACTTCAACACACCTTCGTCCCGCTTCTCTCAGATCTTCAACTGGCAATAAGCCATTTTGATCCAGAAAAACATTTATGGCCCGCTGGTTTCCATTTTCATTTACATTTGATAGAAATTTGGAAGCTAATCCGGAAGCGAAGTTATGACAGTATTCAAGCTGATTTGTGTTTCGAATGAGCCCAGAAGAGATTCCGCAAGCAATATTTTCAATCGCAGCTGGGGCAAGTGGCTCTGTTGTCGCTCGATTAACGTCATCATTTCTGCAGCATAGGCCACGATCACTGAATGCAGCAGTACAGAGGACACACACGACAAATAGCAGAAAGGAGCCAATTAGCAGTACTAGAAGCAGATTCTGGAAAAGTACGGAATCCATCCAAGCAGGGAATAGTCGGAATAATTCAGATCCAAATAATACTTCACCAAATTCCCGACTGCCCCATGTAACTTCGATGCATTAGAGCGGCACGACTAAATATGAATAAAAAAAAGTATTTTTCTGAAGAGAAGCTACTCCTGCAAAAATTGCATATTCTTCTGTGAATGTCTATGTGAGTGCGCATGGGCATCCGTGTGTGCGTGTCTCTGTGTGTGTGTGTTTCTAAGTGTGTTTGTCCGTGAGCGCATGTGTGTTTGTACGTGTCTGTTTGTGCCTGCCTAAGCCATGCGTGCATTGCAAATGGCTAATCATCTACGTATTATAAATGTGGCTGATAGTATCAGCTTAGGATGGACGTGTTGCAGTGTGCATGTTCGGATAAGCGTGTTACTACTAGTTCGTCTTTCTACACACAGCTTTGATATGTAAGCACATGTATGCATATGTTTGTGTGCAGCCCTAAGTGAATATGGATGTGCACGTATGGATGCTTCTGGACCAACTAACAGCTAGAACGAGGAGATGTTGGAAAAGTCAGGAAAAAGGATCTTTTGAAAAATTGACTTAAAGAAAAAAAAAGAGGACGGAGGTGTTTTTTTTATTTTCTTGGAACAGTTGTCAATAAATCAAAGAAAAATGGGAAATGATGAAGAGCAATTGCTTACTATGGTTTCTGCTGCTTTGTGTCCAGTAGCCTAGAATGGGGAGATGCACGTAGCGATAACCTATCAATCTTGCAAGCTCAGACACAGATATCGATATTTTGATGCTCGGTGCTCGTCGAGACTTTACTCTGAAGTCGATCAGGCCTGACTAAAAAAAGATAACTCTGTTGATATCGACTTCGGTACTCGGTGCCGAGTCAGTACTGGTAGCTGCAGGAGGTTGAAGATTGGAATACCAGTGATGATGGTGTTCGTATGGACTCCCAAAATGGACTGTGATGAGCTGTACTAGCGTTATTCTCAATAAACACAGGCCTGCACCTGCCCAAGACTGGCTAAATTGGGCCCCAGTGAAAGCGGTGGCGGATAACTTGGACGGTTCCTCAGTGCTACTGCTTGATGAAATGCTAAATGCGGTAGAAGCGCCGGTCACCGATAACCCCTCTTACAATTACCTAGCGCATGGAAAAGGAAACACTTGTGTGTTTTTCTCAGTCACAGTGTTGAGCATGTATTTTGCAAATGAAGAGCAATAACTGAAAACGGAAGCCTAGAAGAAAACAGCTGCAAATTGTCTTTTACGGCTTGTATGCCTTCATCCTGGTGACATCGAGATCTCTATGCTGACAGTTTAGGCGACTTTGAATTTAGGATTAATAAAGTAAAAATAAATACAGAATCAGGGATCAGGGTGAATGGTGTGAACAAAGCGAATTAAAAGATAGACAGTCAAACACCAGCTAAAGATAGACAATCAAATCAGATCCTTTAGGTCTCCTTGAGTTAATAGCAATAACCTTCTTTGTAACTTAGCAAACGGGACTACGAGGGCAAAACCTTCAATGTTACTAAGACAAGACAGTGCGTACAAGCACAACAGACCCATGACTATCAACCCTCGATTCTGTCATTGGTTGCTTGCTTTCGATTCTATTCGTTATCGTATTCACGTGCCCATTGGCCTTTTTCTAAAAGCTTTGCGAGTCGTTGCATTCTTTTCAGAAGCCCTGGGAAGTTTATGCATTACTGGCAAAGAGAGTGACAATCCTTGCCTAACTTGTCCAAATCAGCAGAACCATGAAGGATATTCAAACTGTGGTCCTCAACGTTATCAAGGCATAGGCCGAGTGATCTCCTCAGTCTCTTTTTGCTTCCAGTTCTCACCATTTTCTCATGCATCCCGTCTGGACAAAGGTTGTCCGAGCGGCTGTTTTCTCTCCTGTGGTACTGATTTCCTTAGCACCCAAATTATCAGTCAATCAGAGGGCAGTACAGTTAATACAAAGATGAGCCTCCATTTTTGTGTCGTCCTATTCGCCAGCCGTAGTGTTGGATATTCCTCAGTATAGTAGTAGCGCTATTGTTCCAGCGAAGCACTGCTTGATAACTGTGTGGTAAAAATTAAAAAATTGAAACTGTGACTCACTGAATAAAAATTGGGACTGGTAAAAATCGAGACCCACTTGGCGTATTGGAGTAAGTTTCAATTTCTACCGCACTAGGTGTTAGGTGAGTCTCAGTATAAACTCGGTATTAAAGATACGCAAGACATAAGTTTAACCGTTGCCGCATTTAAGACAGTGAGGTAGAAAAACAAAAGAGGCGTCGTGAAAGAGGGAGAGGATTCCAGCTCCGGTACTAATTTCTTAAGAAGGAAATTCGACTGAAAAATACTATTCCTTTTGGAGTGATCAGGCAGCAACGCCTTTTATTTTAATTAGAACAATAAGTACGCCTTTGTCCCCAATCTGATGGATAATTGAGCTCACTGGGGCCTATTTGCCCATTTTATGCAAAAATAGTTTCGAACACAAAAAAAGCACGACCACCTTTGGCTAAGCTAGTAAAGAGTTTGACTTTCTTACTAACAATTTATTTTATTTTATTTATTTCCTTTATCAATACCATAACCGTTGTACTGAGGAGATGCAGTTTTGGTGCTGAATGGGAATATCTACGAATTAATGGGCCGAAAGTTCCCTGTTCATCCAATTTTTATATTGTCGAGAGGCTGTCTTTGTGTGTGTGTGTGTGTGTGTGTGTATTCGGAAAGCGAGTGCATTTTGTCACCCACTTTCATCTCAGCAACTAGGAAAGCTGGGAAGCTGAA